ATCATTTTAACTCTTAGCCAACAAATGAACATCTAAAACCACTTTACCACAATATAAGAATCCCAGTAAAAGAAAGTATTAGGAAAAGGATGGACGAGGAAAGTGATCTGGATATTTAAAGAAGAATCTGCTTCCTGCCTAAACACAGATTCATAAATATTAAGAAAAACCAGGCAACAAAAAAGTATCATTCCAACTCAGCTCAAGCAAACAAAAGATATAGTTGTATGCAAAAGTTTAGACATATGCTTATTCCAGTCAACCCCTAAATGAATAGAAGCTGACATAACTACTATATGGCACAAGGTTAAACATGATGTTTTTATGCAAATATGAATATATATTTCCTATCTATGTGCAGTTGTTTGCTGATAAGAAAGAGAAAAATGGCAGGTGCAGAATATTGGACAGTTACTAAATTCCAACTCTTCATAGTACAATTAAAAGATTTCAAACAATATCCGTAGTCAGAGAAGAATCTTTCTATTCTTGCTTGTAAGGTTTTCCCCCCTATTCTTCCTAGGAGAACTTTCTAGTTCAGAAATATTCTTCTGTTTGATTATTCTATATGTTTGATATTTCTCTCCAGATTTTAAGTAGTATTTAACTGCGAGGATATCCAAAAATCTTTTATCTCTCTATCCTATTTCACAACTGATTTGGAGATGTGTTTCACATTTTTATCTTGTTGAAATAGTCAACCTCTAGGATATATTGGTACTTAGACAAATGTATTCTTCCTTTTACCAGCACATTTCCTAGATGTCACACAATCCCAAAGCATAATAGAACTTCTGTTGAGTCCCTAATGCTTTCTGAGCTGGGTTGTATGCTTGCAGATTACCTTACTATGTAATACCATCAGTGCTAATGAGGGTAGGGTTTGTTGATGTGGTTCTCCTTGGTAGTTCTTTCAATTGGCAAGATCGTCTTTTCTTCAGACTTATTTGATTGTGGCCAGACATTTCAATTTATATTTAATTAGATCAAAATCATTTCAGACTTACTGAAATTTTATTTTGTGTATTTTAAGCAACTTCTGAAATGAGGTCAGAGAAAGAGAGAGAGAGAGAGAGAGAGAAATTTGGACAATTTTCTTGTACAGATTATTTTTATATAAGCAGTGTTGTACTGTGGATGCATAGACATATATTACAATGCCACTATACTTTTGAGAGGTTGTTGAAGTGATCTGTGGATTCTGCTTCTACTAGATTTCAGGTAGCTTTAGCAAAGATTTTTCTTGATCTTTCAGGTCTTGTCTTGATTTCAACAGTTCAGTATAACTTCCATTTCTTAACTCTGTCACAGCTGAAATTGCTAGCCGGAAGTCTTTAGAAAATTGTTTATAGCCTCACTCTGCTTTGTAAGAGTGAATTATCTTCATTTTGTATTATGTAGGGGTTGTGTCAGCTACTATTCACTTAAAGATTCATTGAAGTGTACAGTTTGACCAGGGGTGCCTAAACTTTTGCATCTAACTGTAAGCCTGACAGTCATGCTGTTGAACAGTCCCTGTTTTGACAAATCTAGCTGCCCGAGGGCATTTTACTCAGCCCATCTTTAGGCAGAATTAGTCCTGTTCTGTTTTTTCTTGGCTCTTCCATCCAAAGGACCCTTCCTTGTTTGAACTCTCAGGATTTTTCTTTTATGAAATATTCTCCCCCTTTTTCATGTAGAAGAACATGACATTAACTTGTTGGCAACTGTACGTATAATATATAATTTGATACCTATCCCACTTTATACTAATCAATTTGGAGCTTGAACAGGGTAATAGAATCCTTAATCTTATGTAGCCCCAAAAGTTCCAATAAGCATACTGTAAGCCTTCATTAGTTAAAGCTAAAATAACTTCTCAATATAGATAGTCCTCAACGTACGACCACAATTGAGCCCAAACTTTCTGTTGCTAAGACATTTGTTAAGTGAGTTTTGCCCCATTTTACGACTTTTCTTGCCACAGTTGTTAAGTTAGAAACATGGTTGTTAAGTGAATGTGGCTTCCCCATTGACTTTGCTTAACAGAAGGTCACAAAAAATGATAATATGACTCTGGGACATTGCAACCGTTATAAGTATGAGTCAGTTGCCAAGTGTCTGAATTTTGATCAGGTGACCATGGAGATGCTGCAATGGTTGTAAGTGTGAAAAATGGTCATAAGTCACTTTTTTCACTGCTTCTGTAACTTTGAACAGTCAGTAAATGAATTGTTGTAAGTCGAGGACTACCTGTAACTTTATGTTTTCTTAGCAACAGTACTGAAGTGGAATGTCACTGTCTTCTTTCAGGCTACTCTCCTGATAGTATAGGTATAGGATAGTTTTTTTTAAAGTTTCAGCAGTTCTCTGTTAAAGTTGTTCTGTTAAAGCAGTTCTCTGTTAAAGTTGTAAGACAATAGTAATCCATTAGCTATATCATTTCTTGACTTTATGTCCTTTCTATCTCTGGTTGTTGGTGTTTTTTTAAAAAATATGTTTTTATTTTATTTTTCAAAATTTCCAATTTGATTTGGTTCTGCACCCAATTGACCTGCAGAGTTTTCAAAATTATTTTTCATCCCTTCTTTTATCTCTTGATTCGTATCTCTTTTGAATTGTGCATTCACAGAAAATTTATGGATGCTGTTATTGTAACTCTTTCCCAACTCTTCAAAAATCTTTTGGAATGTCTCAAGTGTAATAACTTTTTCTATCGCTTCCGTACATTTCACTACTTTTCTAATAACAGCCATTTAATTAAGTACAGAAGTAAGAGAGGGTCTCTCTCTCTCTCTCTCTCCCTCCCTCTCTCTCTCTCTCTCTCTCTCTCTCTCTCTCTCCTTTCTGTACTTTTTTAAGTATTTGGTATCTTCTGGAACTTTGTAATTCTATGATCACATGGTCTACCTCAAGTATTCTTTATCTCTTTATTTTTCAAAATCCATTAATCATGTCTTCAGTAAAACTCTATAAACAATTTGTTTGCATTCCCATGAAGGCATTATTTGATCTATTTAATTGTTTCAAAAGCAGCCTAACAAAATTGATAAAGTTTCAAATTCAACTGGTCTCTTAGTCCATTTTAAGCTTTTTAAGTTAAATTCTAACCCAAACTTTTTGCCTGGTAAAATTCTTTAATTTATTATTTTACTCTTTTCTTTAATCTATAGTCTTTTCTTTAATCTTTAATCTATAATAAAGAGTGTCTTTCTCATGTTAGAACTTGAAGGATTTAATATTTTAGAATAGATGACTGATTTTTAATCGAGTTCTAACTAACATTTTGATCATACGATTACTTTTCCTGATTTCCTGATTTACATTTGTTACTTTTGATTGTTAGGATTTTTTTGGGAGATTTTATTAATAGTGTTTACTTAATAGATCAACGTATTTGTTTACTAATTGTTTTTAATATGTTACAGTTTAAGCTTTGTTAAAAATGTTTGAATATGATATTTACTCATTATTATGATCCGGACGGTTGCTTGTTTGTTGAACTATGTGATTGTACCTATCCTTATTTTACCCTAATTCCTTATTTCCTTCCCCTCCCCCTTTCCTTTTACCCTTCCATTTACCATATCTGTATTGTTCCTATTTTTCCTCACCTATATACATTTAATAAAATTTTGTTAAAAAAAAAGAGTGTCTTTCTTTTTCTGCTGTTCCAGAAATCTCTGTTAGTTGTAAAATAGCTATAATCCAAACACACTTAAGAAAGTGAGGTTTTAGGGGACCTTATTTCCTTATGGACTTCACCGTAGGTGTGAGCTTATTGACTTTTCTGTGACTCCTATCTCTCAGACTCTGGGTTCCAAGGAGAAGCTGTCTGAAACATAAGTGAGTGATCTCTTGTTCTTTCCTTGTGCAGAGAGGCTGTTTTGGCTTGGACTTCTCACCCAGCCATTGATCTCTGCTGCAGTATTGTCACCGTCTTTCATAAATGTCTTACTCTGCCATTGCCTGACCTGTAAATAATTTACTTAAGCATATTTTTGACTGAAGGCCAGATTAAACATATTATAAAATAAATAGCATAACATGCCCTGATTTATTCTTAATCTTGTCTGTCTAATATACTTGTATAGAACACTCTTCTTTCTCTGTTACAGATACTTCATCAGAAATGGGTAAGAGGTAGCTTGTATGCAACCGAAAGTCTAGAACTGCACTATTAAAATGTGATGGGCTGAGGGTTTTTTTTTTTTTTAATAAAATATATTGAGAACAGGCCAGGTGCCTTACGTTTTGCTTTAAGATTTAAAGAAAGATTATTTAAAAAACATTCACATTTTGTAACATTGCTGTGCCCAGTATAACCTTGCAAAGTCTTAAATAGTGGAACCCGTTTTGGACTCACCTTAGGCTCAGGTTATATGTAGGCACTTTTTTCTTTCCCCAGTCACTCCACTTCTTAAGGTGCCAAGAAGTGGTGACTATCAGCTTTGTGCTCTCAAAGAACTAATGAACTTCTGGACTCTGATTGAGAGCTATCATTTTAAGCCCTCTGGATAAGTCTTTGCCACCAAGGGACTGGTAGTCTTCTACCCTCTAACTGGAGATTGTCAGTTTCTCACTTTTGGGTATTACTGTCACAGTGAAGTACTGGTTACCTTCTGTCTATTGCATGGGCACACAGTTCCTTCCCTTGGAAACTATTATTTATCCAGACATGCACACAACTATACATATACATGCTAGATTTCATCACTCTGGCCATCCAATTTGTATACATCTAGATTATATTCCCCTTTATTCTTTTTCAAGAACCAAATGGTTCTTGATTGTTCTATACCCATTAATGGGAAAGAACAGGAAAGAGAAGACAGCATAGGAAAGGGAGAAGAAATGCAAAGAGGTGGGGGGAATCATAGACTCATAGGATCGGGAGGGAACTTGGAGGTAAAAGACATTTTGGCTCATCTTCGGCTGAGATTAAATGCATGTAGTCCTGCAATAGTCACATTTTCTTCTTGAGACACAAATATTAATATTTTTATTTTTCTTTCTTTTAGGTTCAGCCCAGCTGGTACTTGACAGTATCCCATTTCTTGAAATAAAGCACTGTAATGGAGGCGAAATCATCCTCCCTTGTGTGGTAACTAATCTGAAAGAGCATAGCAGTTTGTCAATGTTTGTGAAATGGCACTTTCAAGGAAATCAATTTTTTCTTTATGATGGAGTTACTGATAACATTACCAAAAACAATAGTTTTGATACTGCAACTTTTCTGAACCGCTCGATGGTACCCTACGGCATTGTTTCACTTGTTATATCAACAAAGCAGGCTCCTCTTGGAAATTATACTTGTGAAGTAACAGAAGTAAATAGAGAAGGAAGAACAAAATTTGAATTGAGAGAGAGTTCAGGTAAGTTACTTGTTTACATTTTCTGTGAAATCCATTGAAACTTTGATTTTAAAATCTATCCATACAGTAAACTATTCATATTTTGGAGAAGATGAAGTGATCATCAGAAGAATACAGATGTCAGATTTGGCTTAATATAGCTAGTTATAATTTGGGTTTATCAATCATAATATCTCTTTCCATGAAGCCTGTTTGTATAAAATAATATGAGAAGTATATAAACTAGGCAGAATATAGCAACTTACAATTTCCACCACTCCATATCCATGATAGGACAGGAAAGTAAAGTGTGAATAAGAGAATCTAAAACAGTGGTTCTCAACCTTCCTAATGCTGCGACCCTTTAATACAGTTCCTCATGTTTTGGTGATGCCCAACCATAAAGTTATTTTTGTTGCTACTTCATAACTGTAATTTTGCTATTGTTATGAATCGTAATGTAAATATCTGATATGCAGGATGTATTTTCATTGTTACAAGTTGAACATAATTAAAGCATAGTGATTAACCACAAAAACAAACTGGGTTTGAAGATAAGGAGTAAGATGGAAAGAAAATTAAACAATGAAACTGAGAGTTCCTGGATTAGAATTTATTACACCCATCACATTAAAAATAAAAGGATTTCCAATCTTGTTGGAAAAACAGTGGATTCACTCCTACTGATACTATTATTTAGATCAGGGGCTTTTCAACCTTTTCACCGATTGACCACTTTTAGAATATGGCAACATTCAAGTACCACCAGTCACCTAGCGAGGTGTCAAAAACTTGACCCCAAAAAAATGGAAAAAATTGATAAAGTACAGGTAGTCCTTGACTTACAACAGTTTGCTTAGTGACTGTTCAAAGTTACAACGGCACTGAAAAAAGTGACTTATGACCATTTTTCACACTTATGACCGTTGCAACATCCCCAGGGTCATGTGATTTACATTTCAATGCTTGGCAACTGATTCATATTTATGATGGTCACATTGTTCCAGGATCATGTGATCACCTTTTTCAACTTTCTGACAAGCAAAGTTAGTTGGGAAACCAGATTCACTTAACAACCGTTACTAATTTAATCTCTCTCTTCCTCTTTCTCTCTCTCTGTCTCCCTCTTTCTTTCTCTCTCTCCCTCTTTCTCCCTTTCTTTCTCTCTCCCTCTTTCCCTCCTTCTTTCTCTCCCTCTCTTTCTATCTCCCTCTCTATCTCCCTTTCTTTTTCTCTCTCTCTCTTTCTCCCGCTCTTTCCCTCCCTTTCTCCCTCTTTATCTTTCTCTCCCTCCCTCTCTTCCTTTCTCTCTCTATTTCTCCCTCCCTCTCTTCCTCCCTCCCTCCCTCCCTCTCTCTCTCTCCAATTGGGGATCAATTTGGAGGTGCGGAGGGGAGCGGCCGAGGACTGCCCATGTGACTTTGAAGTGGCCACCTTTGGAAGCAGCAAGGCTGCTCCAGCCAGGCTCGAGGTGGGCAGAGTGGGTAATGGGAGAGGAGTGGGTCGATCACCTTACCGGCAGCCAGGACTCCGGTGCGCCTTCTCGGCTAGCAGGGCCTACAGTATCAGGAGCCCCGCAAGGGGGAAAGCCGGCATGAAGAGCCAAACCCTTTCTGCAAGGGAGGGACACGTTGAGGGAGCCAGCCAATCATGGGACGTAGATTCTGACAGACGGCTGGCCTGAGCCAATCAGGCGCCAGAGGACTGGGAGCCATAGTTGAAGGCTGAAACACCTTCAGCTGTAACTGCTCGCACGTGTTTGTGTGTGAGTGCGCTGGCCTGGATCAATGTTGCTTTCCAGGTGATAGGCGCTTCTTCGGGGCTCAGGAGAAGCACCCGGATCAGCTCTGGAAGAAGCGCCAATCAGGCAGAAAGGGGCGCTGATCCTGGCGCTTCCCCTGAGCTCTCCCGGCCTTGGAGAAGCGTCGATCAGGCGGAAAGGGGCCGAGCTCTCCCAGCCTCGGAGAAGCACCGATCAGGCAGAAAGGGGCACTGATCCTGGCACTTCCCCTGAGCTCTCCCGGCCTTGGAGAAGCGTCAATCAGGCGGAAAGGGGCCGAGCTCTCCCGGCCTCAGAGAAGCACCGATCAGGCGGAAAGGGGTGCTGATCCTGGCGCTTCCCTTGAGCTCTCCCGGTCTAGGAGAAGCACCGATCAGGCAGAAAGGGGCGCTGATCCTGGCACTTCCCCTGAACTCTCCCGGCCTTGGAGAAGCGTCGATCAGGCGGAAAGGGGCCGAGCTCTCCCGGCCTCAGAGAAGCACCGATCAGGCAGAAAGGGGTGCTGATCCTGGCGCTTCCCCTGAGCTCTCCCAGTCTAGGAGAAGCACCGATCAGGCAGAAAGGGGCGCTGATCCTGGCACTTCCCCTGAGCCTTGCCAGCGGGACACATGCCTCTCGGAGTCATACGGTTTTCAACGTTTCACTCGAAGCAGGGTTGAAAAAAGAGAGAAGAGCTGTTGATCCGGAATTAGGGGAAAGCATAGAAAGCATAAATTGTGAATATGTGCAGATGGTCCTGCTATCTTTGGGTATTGCAGAGTCATGGATGCAGGGTCATGGAAGGTCAGCAAGGAAATCACCCAATGTCCCAAATAAAGAACATGCAGCGTCTTTAGGGAAACACCCAAAAGGAACATTTTTAGCTATTTCTGACCCTAGATGGGTCATTGATACTTATGAAAGCAGAGACTATGACTATTTAAAAGGTTTCCAAGATGTTATTGTTTTGTTGACCCCAATGTGTGGTATTCAGGGGTCCTCGGCTGGTCTATTAATGCAGTTCCAGTGGAAGTAGCCTTGCATCTTGATGCGCTGCCAGTCTCCATTTGTCAGTATCCAATTAGCCTGGAAGGTTTACAGGGGTTAGATTTTCTTGTTTATGGGTTTCTCAGAGAGACAGTCCTTATAATACAATGATTCGGCCCGTCAAAAAACCAGATGGCTCTATCCTTTTGTGCTAGGACTTAAAAGGCATTAATCAGATCAATGTGACACTGCATCAAATGGTACTAATCCCTATATTCTGATTTCTCAGAGTCCGCATCTTACCTGGTACACAGTTATTGATCTAAAAGATGCTTTCTTTTGTGTCCATTTGAACCCTGTTAGCCAACCACTTTTTGCTTTTCAGTGGCAGCATAGTCAAGTTTGCTGGACTGTTTTACCCCAAGGATTCAAAAATAGCCCTACTATCTTTGGCAACATCCTGGCCACTGATCTAGCCACATGGCAACCTGTGGAGAACACCATTACTGTGGTATTACAATATGTCAATGACTTGCTGGTAGCTGCCTCCACTAAAGGCGATTGTCTCTTGAATTCTGTTTCCTTGTTAAATTCCCTTTGTTATTGGGGTATAAAGTTTCTTGTACTACAGCCCAGCTTGTCCGACAAGAGGTTCGGTATTTAGGTTACATTCTATCACAAGGAACTAGAAAATTATCCCCAGAGATGATCCAGGCTGTGTGCCTACTTAAACCACCTGACACTAGATGCCAGCTTCAGGGTTTCTTGGGAATGGGAGGTTTCTGCCATATCTGGATTCCAAACTTTGCTCTAATGGCTAAGCCCTTGTTTCAGGCCACCACAGGCTCAGACAAAAAAACCCTTTGAATGGACCAAGGATTGTCAGGTGGCATTTGATAACATTAAAACTGCTTTATTAAATGCTGAGGCCCTTGGCATTCCTGATGTCACTAAACCATTCACTTTGTTTGTGGCAGAAAGGAAAGGAGTAGCTGCTGGAGTCCTTACTTAGACTCTTGGTACTTGGTCTCACCCAGTAGCCTATTTCTCCAAACAACTTGATCCTGTTGCTCAAGGATGGCCGGCATGCCTTGGGCCACAGCAGCTGCTGTTCTCCTATTGGAGACTGCTGAACAATTAACTTTTGGGGCTCCTATCACAGTGAAAACACCTTATTCCATTCAAGACTTTTAACATCCAACGGGGGCCATTGGCTTACAGCCTCCCGTCTGGAGCGGGATCAAATTGCACTCCTTGACAACCCCCAAGTTCATATCAAGCACAGGGGCAGGTTCAATCCAACAGCCTTACTCTCTTTTAGAGGGGCCCGTCTTTATTCACCTGAATAAAAACGTAAAGCTTAAAGGCAACTTCTGGTTTCCTGTATTTCTTTATCAAGCAACACTTCAGATCCTTCACAACAGAGCTGAAGATCAAATCCTTCTGAGGCACAATATTGTCCAGATATTGTTTTGTTACTCTGAGCCTAAAGGTAAAATGATTATAGAAGGAGGGATACACAAAATGGAAGGGATGAATGACGTTCAGTTCTTTCTTGGTAAAAGTAAGATGAAACGATACTAGGAAGTATTGTATTGGACTATAGTGAGTTGGAGATACAGGATGAATGTGTATCTTAAAATTGAAAGAACTGAATTGAATGAAAAATTTAGGTTTGAAACAACACTATTTTGAATGAATTTTCCCAAGCAAATCAATATTTTTGAGAATAATAAAGTCAGATGTTTTAAAAATAGGTATTACTATGAAGAAAATATGTAGAAATGTGTATTTTTCTTAAAACATTAGAATACATTGGTCAATACGTTGAATGGATAGAGAAGGATCAGAATGAAGGAAATGACAACTAATGATAATTATGTGATTAAATGCAGTTCTGCACAATAGTATTATCATTGGAAGTGAAAATGGATAGGTTAACTTTTGAGAGAACCAGTCCACCGATTATTATTAATAATCATAAAAAATAAAAGCTCTTTGTTCATAAATTTGCTTTTTTATATAATTATCCATTTGTTCCATTTTGTCTTTCCATCTTTTAGCTAACTTTTTACTCTTTGTCATTATATGATTTTAGCATAATGTTGGAATATTATCTAATTTACATGCAGTACAATCTGTGTTAAGGAACTCCTTAAATGATTCTTAATGTTAGAATCTAATCCTAACTCTATATAAGACCAGAAATAAATGATCTACAGCTGGATGCTTCTTAAAAACATTTCTAATATTTTAAGAGTGCGCTTGTGATGTA